ATACAGTAATATTATACATAATATGATACAGTATAAAAATTATATAGTATTTATATATTATTAATAATATATATTAATAATTGTACATTACAATTTCTTTCGTACTACTACTTTTATGAACTTTCTTTATTCACATATAACATTGACCCACTGTAACTAAGTACTAATATTGAAAATGATTCCGAATATTTGAAAATCCCAGCAACGAAACAGGTTTATTGATACAATTTATATAATCACTTTGAACGACGTAGTGATCACAAACCAAATAATGCAAATTGTGAAAGTTATTCAAATCTTTTATTTAAATGGTGAAAAATTCAACGAATTAACTTCAAGTTATATGTGAATTATTAGCACACCTTTGAAATGACTTATTTCGATCATTTCAAACTAAGAAATGATTTGATACAAAATTCTCGGAACACGATTTAATTTAACAATTTAACTTCTTTCCTTCGTTTTTCCTTAAGGGAAAGATCTTAAAAAATTATGGAATGATTGGAAATTTTGTATCAAATACCAATAATGACACGTCAAAAATATAATGCAAATCTTTTACGTTTATTGTATGATAATACATTAGGCATTACCAGCTTTCAATGAAAAGCTGTAAAGTCGGCCATTTGTCAATATGCCGTTCATTCTTTGAACATTTTACGCTATCAGGCCATTCCAGTCATCAGAGATTAATCTGTACAGAAGAAAACAAGAATTTTAATCAAACGACCAAAGCTAAATTCAAATATGTTAATAAAAGGTAATGGGCGATCGTCAATTCTGTTACAAGCAGCCAATATAACTCTAGTACCGAAATACATTAATATGTTACAAGAACGATCAAATTAAGAAATCGACAAAAAATCTTACATTCTATGATTTTTTACAATAATATCACACATGTAATTAAAGAATGTTCAATGATTATACTAAAGATTAACAATGTTCGTATAAAATGAAAGTACAAACACGCATTGAGTTTATCTTCGTAACATAATTAATGTTCGCCACTACCAAATTCCGTCATAGATTTCACGACTTTGGTTACAAACCATCACAGTGACTGCTGCTCGTCCTCTAATACGACCGTTGGTGCGTTCAATACGTTCTAAGTGATTCTTGGAATCAACTAATAATCTGCAACAGCAAAAACCATAAATTTAGCATGATTGTGTAGAACTATCACAAATTATATTAAAATAGGAAAATAATCGTACTCGAATTTCAACTTAAAAGCTAATATTTCTTTTGTGAAAGCAATTAGTAAAACGAACAACCAAATGGAAAAATGGCATTTCAAAAAACTTGTAAAATTATCTGATTTTTCCATAGTTATGTTCAAAATATTATTACATAAGCAGATGTTAAAAAAATGAAGGTAGCAATGGTATATAAATGTTGAAAAGACAGAAATGAAAGTTCTCCACAACAATAAATGAAAAGAATACCTGAATTCCATCTCACGTCCAGTTGCCGCGACGTACAAAAGGAGAATGACCCCACCCTATCATGGCGTCGCCTAGCCGTCAGCGGATTGGTCGAGAGACCTAGCTCTTCCCGCCATTTCCAAAGCCCGCGATAGCACGGAAATTTGAACTTCGTAGAGGTTCTCATGGTTGGCTAATCACCTATCTGTGGAGTATATAACGTGAAAATCTCTTTCCTTCGTATAACTATTTTTATTTACTCTTGTTAATCACATATAATATATATTCGCTGTAATTATTTATTACTATTTAGAATAATTATAAATATATGAAAATATTTAAAATAATAAAAAATTAGGATTATTGAAACAATTCATATGACCACTTTTCATGACCCCGTCGAATTATCAAATCAAATTCGTTATATTATGAAAATTACTTCAATTTTTTAGTTAATTACAGAAAGTCAAATGAATTTATTCCAGTTATAGCTCTATTACTAAAAAAACCATGATATTTATTTGTTTCTACCATTAGAAAAGAAAATGCTGTGATACGAATATTTTCAGAATAAAAGAAATGTGTTGAATAATTACCAGTTTTCGATGAACAGCAGTTATATTCTACAATTGTCATACTGGCATCTGTATCGTATGATATTGTAGCCGTCAAACTTATTCCCACCATCAATGATTACTCTGCACAGACGAAATCAAAATCAAATGTACAAAATTATAATTAACCGTATTAAAAGGAGACAACGATTTGTGTCAAATTTTGTTTCAAGTAACTAATATGATTCTAATAGCGAAATACAATTTTTTAAGAGGAATAGAGCAATTTGAAAAATTATCTGATTTTGTCACAATGAAATTGCTAATGTATGAAAACTGAAACGATAAAAATAAGAGTACTACGCAACAAGGAGACGATGGTAATATACTTACGTGATATTACGTGATACGTTGTAACGATGCATCAATAGTAGATTAAAAAATTCACAATTCTTGGCGACGACTAACTATAACAGTTTGGATTGGCCCAAAAACTTAGCTGCCCTCTCCACTTTCAAAAACCGCAACAAGTCGAAGACCTGAACTTCGTAAAACTTACAGAGTTGACGAATTAGATGTCTGTGAATAGTATACAGAGTAAATCAGAATAACATACGACGAAATTAATATTCTATAATTTAATTTAAGAAAACTGTGAACTGCAAAGAAAACAGTGTTCTGGTTGCACAAGGCTAATAATGTACAAATAGTATCAAAGTATTGCGTAACAGATATGCAATACACATAACGATAGGTCCTCTTACCATGATTTCCAGTGGCACAATGCTACCCAGCACTGTGAGTTGGCAAAATTGTTCCGAACAAAGGACAGCGGTGGTCGAGAGGATGCAGGGGGGCAGAGAGGTAGGGAATGCTTCTCGGTCAAGGACAAATTTCAAGCAGATAGATATTTTTAAACGCAGCCTACAGTTTCGTTCGTTGAACTATAGAAGTCAGGCGAACATAAGAAACTTCCAATGGCTAGTATTGTGCTTGATTCAATATTCTGCAGCAGAGCCAGAATCGGTTGATGCGCTTATTTCTTAGGAAAGTCCAGTATTCTAGAAAATATTATCACAGTCAAAGGTAATATATTTCAAATGTCAAAATGAATCACAGGAATAATTACTTACATATAATTCTTGGATTTGAGGAAATGAGATTGATCTTGTGACTGAAAAATATGTAAAAAAGATAATCAATAACAACATTTTAGATTCAGATAATACTGAGTTCTTGATGTGAATTTATCGATATGTATAATATGTATTTATATTCCGTTGTAAAATATTAATACGGAAATCGTCCCTAACTACGTTCCAACCATATTTTCTGTCGCATAAAAATTAACAAACAATGAAATAAATTTCTGTTTGGATGCACCTTTGCGAAACGTTCAATTCTTGAATATTGTGCATAAAGGCGCAGTATGATCCGTCACTCAATTCCACTTTCGGCACTGTATTTCGAAAACAAACTGCGAAAATCAAGAAAGACCACTGATTCTATTAGAGAAGAGTAACATCTATCGAGTGATAAAGAAAAATCGAAATCAAAAATCGAAATTTCGGAAAGCTAAGCCACGAAAGATAACGTCGCAGTACAACCTGTCACACGTTTCCACTTTCGGCACTATATTACGAAAAAAAATGAAGAAAATCGAAAAAAGTACACCGATTCTATTACAGAAAAGTGAGATCTATCGAATGATAAAAAAATATCGAAATCAAAATTCGAAATTTCAGAAAGCTAAGCCACGAAAGATAACTACGCAGTACGATCCGCCACACACTTCCAGTTTCGGCACTGTATTTCGAAAAAAAACGGCGAAAATCAAAAAAGGACCGCTGATTTCATTAGAAAAAAGTGAGATCTATCGAGTGATAAAGAAAAGTCCGGATCAAAAGTCGAAATTTTGGAAAGATAAGCCACGAAAGATAACGACGCAGTACGATCCGCCACACACTTCCACTTTCGACACTGTATTTCGAAAAAAGACGGCGAAAATCAAAAAAAGACCACTGATTCTATTAGAGAAAAGTGAGATCTATCGAGTGATAAAGAAAAGTCCGGATCAAAAGTCGAAATTTTGGAAAGATAAGCCACGAAAGATAACGACGCAGTACGATCCGCCACACACTTCCACTTTCGGCACTGTATTTCGAAAAAAGACGGCGAAAATCAAAAAAAGATCACTGATTCTATTAGAGAAAAGTGAGATCTATCGAGTGATAAAGAAAAGTCCGGATCAAAAGTCGAAATTTTGGAAAGATAAGCCACGAAAGATAACGACGCAGTACGATCCGCCACACACTTCCACTTTCGGCACTGTATTTCGAAAAAAGACGGCGAAAATCAAAAAAAGATCACTGATTCTCTTAGAGAAAAGTGAGATCTATCGAGTGATAAAGAAAAGTCCGGATCAAAAGTCGAAATTTTGGAAAGATAAGCCACGAAAGATAACGACGCAGTACGATCCGCCACACACTTCCACTTTCGGCACTGTATTTCGAAAAAAGACGGCGAAAATCAAAAAAAGACCACTGATTCTATTAGAGAAAAGTGAGACCTATCGAGTGATATAGAAAAATCCAGATCAAAAATCGAAATTTCAGAAAGCTAAGCTACAAAAGATAACGTCGCAGTACGACCTGTCACACGTTTTCACTTTCGGCACTATATTTCGAAAAAAAATGGAGAAAATAAAAAAAAATACACCGATTCTATTACAGAAAAGTGAGATCTACCGAATGATCAGGAAAAATCGAAATCAAAAATCGAAATTTCAGAAAGCTAAGCCACGAAAGGTAACTGCGCAGTACGATCCGTCACACACTTCCACTTTCGTCACTGTATTTCGAAAGAAAACTGTGAAAATCGAAAAAAGAGTCACTGATTCTATTGGAGAAGAGTGAGATCTATCGAGTTATTAAGAAAAATCCAGATTAAAAATCGAAATTTTGGAAAGCTAAACCACGAAAAGTAAGGACGCAGTACGATCCGTCACACACTTCCACTTTCGGCACTGTATCCTATCATGCAATTATGTCGTGTTCCTATCCTTTCGACGGAGACGTTCATATTTCCTACCGTGTCGTGTAACTTTCATACTTTTCCTTTGCGTGCAGTTTCCTTACATTTTTCATCAATTTTTCCTTTTTCGGTAGATATGCTTTTCTCGGTTTTTTTGAGTTTAATCCTGATATTTCCATTTTAAGAGCTACCAAGACGATTACAGGAAAGAAATAAAAGTTCTATATAATAAATAAATGCTGCTGGTTACATACATAAAACAAGACAACATAACCGATCTCTCGGATCTTCTTCACGTGACTGAGCTCTTCCTTACGTAGTTTCCTCTACGCAATCTGCTGATTGGTTAGAAAGTAACCCCCCCATGACTTTCAATGCGCAGTAGCGAAATTTTAAATTTAGTGCAGCAGTAGCGGATAATAACTACGCAAATCAGCTTCAATACGTAATGAATTTTCAATGTTTTGAAAATAAAAATTTTATATTTCTTTTCAGTTATAAAATATTTCGGACCATACATTATCCATAATTTCATAATTACATTTAGTATTAATTGTAACCACTAGTAAAATTGCAACCTTTTTTGTGCTGATCCAGTAACTTTTTTAATAATACAATGCCTTTTCGTATATAGTTACAATATGTAATATATGAACATTGTGAATTCTTTATCAGCAATTTACTTCGTGAAAAAAACCTATACGAATTTTATTGGATATATCGAAGATAATTACTAAAATCAGCATTGTAAATGGTAAGCATAAATTCTATAATATTTACTCTATCGGTATTTCAAAATTTATTATCCGTAGATCCCTTAAAAATTGCGTCTATCGTGTATCTCGTGTATAGTTCTAGTTCCTACCACTGTGAGCGTTATAATGTTCGTCCACGCTGTGTCGGTAATATTGGAAGTGACAAGAAAGTAGCTACGAGCTTTCGTACTCTGTAACTAGAAAATGACAATACTACATTACATGCCACTGTTGGGTAAGTCACAGATTAGGTGTCTTGATTATATTGTCATTACAGACGAAATGTTAATCTAGATTATAGCAATTGTACACCTTATTTATTAGTTAGTCAATTCTTTGTTACAGTGTGTGCGTGGAATTACGAATTACCTATTATCGATAAATAATTATGATTTTCAATGCATTAAAAACAATGGACATTGATAATTTTATATAAAATTGAATTAAATTTAGATAAAAGCCCTCATAAGACGCATATTTTACGGCACTACAAATAAAATTGAACAGATAAAATTCGAAACAACATGACCAAGGTTATCGCAAGTATATATATTTCGTAATTTTTATAGAAATAGTGAATGATTTAATTTTTAAGCTTTGGATTTAATCTGCTTACGTATACAATGAGAATCGTCATATTTTTTCATTCACGAAATATGTGTCATAAAACAAATATATATTTGCGATTTATAAATCATCTCCATATCATCATTCAATTTTATTGTATACAATCTAATCTCAAAAAGTAATATAATGCAATAATGCAATAAAAACAAAAGTTACTATGTTGGTTTGTAGTTACATACTATTGAAACATTATTGCTTTAATAAATAGTAATTAACAAGATTTCACATGTAAAACTTACATGGTTAAACATAACATACACAATGCTGGAATGTAATATTGTCTTCTATTAAAGTGTCAAACGATACCTGTAATTTTATACAATAAATAATAGTAATAAGAAGAACATGTCGCAAATAAAAAAGGCGACGGGTGCATTGTGCCAACAAGTTTTGGTTCGCGTTGCTTCTATTTTCTGGTAACCTAGTCTCATATATCATAAGGAGATAAAAGGTAGAGAAAGGCATGCAGGGAGAAGTCGAACCAGGGTCCCCCATGCTCTACCATCTGTTTTCATCTAAAAGCATAGGAAGGAGAGATCAAGCTTATAGTAAAAGTAAGATCTATTTTCATTTACAGTAGATTACCGACAGATATGCCTTTAAAACGAAATATAAATCGTATTATCTATGCATATAACATACTACTGCATTCCGGAATTTCTTGCATAACTTCGTGCTGCAGAATTAGTCTTGGTCCTTTAATTGCACATTTATACATATACATATATGTATCTTGTATTTCCACTTCATTTCAAACGCGTTTATCCGATCCGGTTTAACATTCCTTTTAGTCCATATAGCGACAAGAAGTTAATAGATAATTATAGTTAGAATACTTGTAGTACAAAAATAGAGATATTATGCAATATCTACCAAGATGTCGGAATATTTACGTTAATACACTAAAGTGTTGCAATTTACTTGATTATAGGAAAGAAATAAAAGTTCTATATAATAAATAAATGCTGCTGGTTACATACATAAAACAAGACAACATAACCGATCTCTCGGATCTTCTTCACGTGACTGAGCTCTTCCTTACGTAGTTTCCTCTACGCAATCTGCTGATTGGTTAGAAAGTAACCCCCCCATGACTTTCAATGCGCAGTAGCGAAATTTTAAATTTAGTGCAGCAGTAGCGGATAATAACTACGCAAATCAGCTTCAATACGTAATGAATTTTCAATGTTTTGAAAATAAAAATTTTATATTTCTTTTCAGTTATAAAATATTTCGGACCATACATTATCCATAATTTCATAATTACATTTAGTATTAATTGTAACCACTAGTAAAATTGCAACCTTTTTTGTGCTGATCCAGTAACTTTTTTAATAATACAATGCCTTTTCGTATATAGTTACAATATGTAATATATGAACATTGTGAATTCTTTATCAGCAATTTACTTCGTGAAAAAAACCTATACGAATTTTATTGGATATATCGAAGATAATTACTAAAATCAGCATTGTAAATGGTAAGCATAAATTCTATAATATTTACTCTATCGGTATTTCAAAATTTATTATCCGTAGATCCCTTAAAAATTGCGTCTATCGTGTATCTCGTGTATAGTTCTAGTTCCTACCACTGTGAGCGTTATAATGTTCGTCCACGCTGTGTCGGTAATATTGGAAGTGACAAGAAAGTAGCTACGAGCTTTCGTACTCTGTAACTAGAAAATGACAATACTACATTACATGCCACTGTTGGGTAAGTCACAGATTAGGTGTCTTGATTATATTGTCATTACAGACGAAATGTTAATCTAGATTATAGCAATTGTACACCTTATTTATTAGTTAGTCAATTCTTTGTTACAGTGTGTGCGTGGAATTACGAATTACCTATTATCGATAAATAATTATGATTTTCAATGCATTAAAAACAATGGACATTGATAATTTTATATAAAATTGAATTAAATTTAGATAAAAGCCCTCATAAGACGCATATTTTACGGCACTACAAATAAAATTGAACAGATAAAATTCGAAACAACATGACCAAGGTTATCGCAAGTATATATATTTCGTAATTTTTATAGAAATAGTGAATGATTTAATTTTTAAGCTTTGGATTTAATCTGCTTACGTATACAATGAGAATCGTCATATTTTTTCATTCACGAAATATGTGTCATAAAACAAATATATATTTGCGATTTATAAATCATCTCCATATCATCATTCAATTTTATTGTATACAATCTAATCTCAAAAAGTAATATAATGCAATAATGCAATAAAAACAAAAGTTACTATGTTGGTTTGTAGTTACATACTATTGAAACATTATTGCTTTAATAAATAGTAATTAACAAGATTTCACATGTAAAACTTACATGGTTAAACATAACATACACAATGCTGGAATGTAATATTGTCTTCTATTAAAGTGTCAAACGATACCTGTAATTTTATACAATAAATAATAGTAATAAGAAGAACATGTCGCAAATAAAAAAGGCGACGGGTGCATTGTGCCAACAAGTTTTGGTTCGCGTTGCTTCTATTTTCTGGTAACCTAGTCTCATATATCATAAGGAGATAAAAGGTAGAGAAAGGCATGCAGGGAGAAGTCGAACCAGGGTCCCCCATGCTCTACCATCTGTTTTCATCTAAAAGCATAGGAAGGAGAGATCAAGCTTATAGTAAAAGTAAGATCTATTTTCATTTACAGTAGATTACCGACAGATATGCCTTTAAAACGAAATATAAATCGTATTATCTATGCATATAACATACTACTGCATTCCGGAATTTCTTGCATAACTTCGTGCTGCAGAATTAGTCTTGGTCCTTTAATTGCACATTTATACATATACATATATGTATCTTGTATTTCCACTTCATTTCAAACGCGTTTATCCGATCCGGTTTAACATTCCTTTTAGTCCATATAGCGACAAGAAGTTAATAGATAATTATAGTTAGAATACTTGTAGTACAAAAATAGAGATATTATGCAATATCTACCAAGATGTCGGAATATTTACGTTAATACACTAAAGTGTTGCAATTTACTTGATTACAGTAATCAAAATAATTTGACACGTGCATCGATCATGAAAAATGTAAAGAATGTATAATATTCTCATCGTACAATCTGAAGGTATTAATAATCTGAAGTACCATAATATTGAAGCCTTACAACAATTATCTTGTCTATATACAAGAAACGATAATAATATCAATAAAAAGTAATACAATAGTAATACTTAAATCTATTAACTATTGTCAAACAATTCAACGTTAAAATTCTGGCAACTTAAAATAACAATAGCCACCAATTATAAGAAATTCTAAAATATTCAAACCCAAATCAAATAAAGCAAAAGGAGAAAGAAAAACATGGCACATCTTATGTAACACAAAATGAAGTTGATATAGTCATCAACTTTAATCATTTCCCTATATTGAACCATCAACAATTAAGCCGTTGAGTCACCAGTATAATTCCACCTCTTTAAGTTATTGTTATTATTCATAACTCATCTTCATTAACCATGACACCGAAAAAGAAGTTGCGCGCGTGCAGGAGATAGCTTAAGAGATTATTGATCATTTTAAAACGGAAATTCGTGCGTAAAAACGGGTATACAAGTGCGGGCTAATTATCTTGCCGGCGGGAGAGAGGGGGGCGAGAAACTGTTGAAGATAAACGAGCGGCTCTCGACCGGAACAAGAGTTTGGGTACGAACTCCAGCCAGAGCAGGAGGATAAGGTCCCTATAAATGCGTGCGTGCGTGCGTTCATGATTTCCAGTCGGTGGGAGGTTAGCCTTTCGGCGAGAACGATACGCGTTGCGTATACGCAGCCTTCCCTTCCCCTCAGTTTCCTTTCTTTCAATCTTCTTCCTTTTCCTATCTTCTTTTTGTCCCCAAACTCGTGCAGTGTGCCTTAACCGCATTAAGTCCAACGATACTTTGCATTCGCGTGTATTCGCCGTATCATTCCAAAGGGATATCGTGCCTGTGTTTCCGTGCAATAACGCCCATCTCTTACGTAGAAGATAACACTGTGGAAAATGAAGGAAAACGATTAATGTACCATGAAGTGATAATCCATTAGAAAAAATACACAGTACAGAAGTAAAGGAATCTTCAAAGAATTATTGCATAATCATGGTTTCTAGAACGGAATGCCTCGACTATCTTCAAGAGACATTCGATGAAGAGAAACATTTTATACGAAGGAAAGATTAGGAAAATAATTCCCTAGTCTATGGATTGTAGAGCACTAGAGAGTGCGCATAAAAGCACGCGAAACTTTCTCGACGTAATTCTCTCTTGGAGCAATAAAGCCTCGGTAATTATTGAAACGCAATGGCGCCTAGTTTTCATGTTGCGGCGGCCGTAGAGGAAAGCGTGACATGCTCGTCATCTTGATTAGACGCTCGGAGAAGGCGTGTACCGAAACGTGCACGCAGTTAAATTACAAAACGATCAACGAATTGACATTCGAGTAAGTGACGTTAAACGCAACGATTAACGCTTGGTTAGCATTCGAATGCTGAAATCAACGACCTGCTAATCACGTGCTCGTACGAAACGTCAGTGCGCGCGCGAATGTGCGAAGAGCGCAAGTATCCATCACTGACATTTCACTGAGAGAAACAAGAGAGTGCAAATACTGTGTTCGTGAGTCAGTCAGTACCAAGTGTACTTCCACTTCCATAAACAGTTCCAAGGATTTGATCGGAGCATCGAGCTGCGTAATTCGAGCCACAATACCATCAAGTAATCCTTTGTTTTACCATTAACGTTGACCTCGCGATAATAACGTTGAACCGATATCCGGCACGCTTCAATGCCCCGGTAAGACGTAATGCATTACGTATGACTCTTATGACTGAAAAGGTAGAGGAAGAAGAATTTTGTAGCGGTATGCAGTAAATGTTATGTATACATTGGAAGATTAAAAAGAGATCAAGAATTTTTGTGGCGATACACCACTTTGTGATGATAATCACTATAGATCGATCTCAAGGCCAAGAGGAAAAGTGATATTAAAATTGAGGAGAAAATAGCGACGATTATGCGATGAATATTTTGGATTATTTTTAATGTAAAAAAGATGCGGGAAAAGTTTGAAACACTACATACTGTATAAATTGGGTACAAATTGGATACTGTACAAATATTGCAAAGGATAGTGCATAATATATCGAGAGAAATTCTTTTGTATACAAAATGTGGAATATATTAAGAGAATTCTTGGAACAGTTCCTTTTACCGGGATTGTTAATAGGTGTTTTGTATTGTTTCCTCACCACCACCTTCGACTTTTGGAAGAATCGTGGTGTACCATTCCGAAAACCCACTGCTCTGTTTGGCAACTTCGCCCCTATGTTATTGTTCCGGAAATCCCTACCGGAAGGTATAAAAGAAATGTACGAGTGGTTCAAAGACGAGAGGTACTTCGGGGCATTTCGTGTTAGATCGCCTGTACTGATCCTACGAGACCCAGACCTCGTGAAAAATATTTGCGTAAAAAACTTCGTCTGCTTCTCGAATCGTGGCATACCGGTGAACTCGCAGGTAAAAGAAAAATATTTTCTTATGTAAATAGGTTCTAGACTTTAATTTCGAGATATTTAAACGTTAATTTCAAAGATTGCAAATGTCTGCTCTTGGAAACTATTAGTACGATAAATTTCATTAATGAAATAATAAATGTCAGTCAAAGGTATACAACTTCAATGAAAATTTAAATAACAAATTTTAGTGCTTGGAAAGGAAAGCAAATATCGTTTCGTTCAAAATTATGAGTAATTTGAAGATGAAACGAGATAATTTAAAATTTATGAGTAAAAAATTTAGGAGTATCTTAATTAGATACAATGTAGGAAGTCTTTTAGATTATTTCAATTTAGATGACTATCAAAAAAGTAAAAATATTTTGAAACATATCTTTGAATAAAAACATTTAGAGTAAGGATGGATTACATCACATTTTCCTGTCACATTATAAAAAATATATAATTATAAAATATGAGATTACTGCCACTAATTTAGAGTACAAATATATTTGCAATTTTATTCATACAACTAATTATGAACGTACGATTAACATAAAGTATTCAAGAAAACACCTGGTATTTGGATCGCAATCTAAATCGATGTAAAATATGCGTAAAATATTAATACACGTCTAAATTAATAACATCTTTTCCCCTTGCTAGGACCCATTATCCGCCCACCTGTTCAATCTGGAAGGAAAAAAATGGAAGAGTCTCAGATCGAAACTAACTCCAGCCTTCTCGTCCGGCAACTTGAAAAGGATGTTCTACCTGCTGGTAGAGTGTGGCGAAGAGTTTCAAAAATTAATCGATGCGTCCTCTGCGACCGATCAACCATTTGAGATTCGCGAATTGGCGGCGAAATTTACGATAGACGTCATTGGTAGCTGTGCTTTTGGCATACAAATAAATGCGCTCAGCAATGAGGAATCCGAGTTTCACAGAGCTGCTAAGAAGCTTTCGAAACCGAGTTATAAGGCCACTCTATGGAGAATGCTTAGAACAGCCATACCAAAGTTGTACAAATTTTTGGGTGTACAGGTGATCGATCAAGATGTGACCAAATTCTTCAAAGGCGTTGTGTCGCAGATGATCAATGAACGGAAAGAACATAGTATTAAAAGACACGATTTTATGGATCTGTTAATCGAATTAAAGAATAAAGGTACCTTGGACGAATCGGGAACCGGACAGGTCTGCAACGACGAGGATTCGGAAACAGCAGAAGAGATAGGTACGTTAATTTGCCAATCACGAAAATAAGTAATAGCTAAAGTTGTAGAGGAAAAATATGAGAACGCTTGCGAAAGCGTAAAAACAGGATAAATTGTCGATGTATGGGTGTATCGTAGTGCTCCTATCGTTTATATAGATTACTTTGTACGAAGATAAATCGTACTCTTTGCAAGAGAAATGTTGTCGTTCTCCTTAACATGTGAGCTGGTGTATACTTGATACTGGTGCGACGTTTCACTGCGACACACATTTTTTGGGAAAGCAATGCAAGTAAATTGTAACTTTTTTATATACGTGAACTATTAGAGAAATATTATTTAGAAGAACGGAAAATAGTACATCAAATTTATATTTTACGTGCCCCTATAGTATTACTAATTTATAGTTCAGAATATACGTACAAAATTAATATAAATGATTAAATAATGATCTATTAAAGCATAAAAATTTTTATATTTAATACTCGTATTAGATATACTTACGTAAAATTGATTCTAAACACTGGCTTGCTCTATACTGGTTCGCATCTCTTCCGAGTAATTTAATTGTATCAATGAAAGAAGAGAGTTACATAATTGATAAATCTCCTCAATCAATATATAAGTTGTTCTTGCACGCTACAAATAGTTGTAATGACTTGCCACAAACGATACTGTTCTGTAACAAATTAATCAAGATAAAGTTGACAGTAAGTGCTTTATTCATAAATAGCTACTCCAAGATCTACGTAATGGAAATAAAATCCATTAATAAACCGCTTCATTAACTTCACATGTAAGGAAGCATTATCGATTCATAATTAAAATCCGCGTTTAACGTTGGGTATATTCCAATTTTATATCGATAACTTTCCGATAAATTATTTAACGAAACTAATATTTAATTTTTTAAATAGACCCAGTGGAATAATACCAAACAGAAAAAGACAAAATATATAAAATCATAGGATTGTTATGAAACATTTAAAAATAGTAAATGAAATTTGGTATAAATTATTATATAATTAATAAAATTATCAAATGTAATTATTTCTAATTAATGTAAGCGACAACATAATTAGCTTGTACTAATAAAATTTCCATTAATAATAAGAAGAAATATACTATTATGATAAGTAAAACAATACATTACATGATTTTATTTCATTTTTAAATAATAGATTCATTCGTTCTCATGATGTATGAAGTACATTTAAATACTTCTTTACAATAATCTTATTTATACTTTTTCCAATCCATTGTTAATAATTAAAACTTGCAAAATTGCAATCTCTTCCTCGTAATTGTGTTCACGATGAAAAATTATCGCTATACCCAATCGTTAGACTGATGAACGATAAAGGAATTTTTTATCCAAAGGCATTATCGTATAAGGTATCGTTATTTATAGAATTGGACGAGAACAGCATTGCAGCACAAGCGTTTGTGTTTTTTGCCGCCGGCTATGAAACGTCGTCGAACACCATTGCATTCTGCCTTCACGAGCTGGCATTGAATGCTGAAATTCAAGAAAAAGCGAGACGCGACATAGAAGATGCAATTGACAGCAGAAATGGAAAATTGACTTATGACAGTGTACAAGATATGAAGTACCTTGATATGGTCATTGCAGGTAAAAATCTATTTCCTTTGAATAGTCGTGAAATCCTGAAGTGATTATCTATATTCGTAATCTATAAATTCTGTATCTATATCTATACTTTATAAATATGTATTACCCATTATCATTCATTGCCATAATTTTCTCAATTTATTTGTTTCTTTGAAGACTTTATTGTGGTATATAGATTCATAAATTTCCTAAATTCGAAAATATCTCTGTAATTAAAAGAGAAAGAATGATTATTTGTCAAGAAAAAATATTAAAGGAATTTCTATGATGACGCATTTCTTTCATGACTTCAGTGAAATAATCATCCAAGATTATTTCAGATCATAAACCTTAGGTAGTAAAGTAGGTAGCAGAGTATAAAACGTAAAATATACGGTATCCTTTTATATCGTTTTGCTTCACTTGAAGATCTCTTCACGATGAAATCATTTCGTATAACCTTCAATTATATTATTGATTATTAAGTTCATATCCTGCCTACGTGAGATATAAATAAAACGACGTTTCACTTGAAGAATTTGTTTTTGACACAACGTCACGTTTCGACATCTTCCAGCACCTCAATAGTAAGATCTTTGTACACATTGAATAAAATTAATTTAGTTGAACAAATATAGAAAAACCAACCTATAAAAAGGAGATGAAGTAAAAGTTATTTCTTCTTCAAGGATTTCCGTTAATTGCAGAATATTAAAGTCTAGAATTAATACGATCTCATGAAATTAAAACGTTCTGTAATATAATATAACAAAAATTAATCGTCATATGGTAAAATTATAATGCTACAAAACTTTTCCTTATTTCACTTTGATTTTAAATTATGCAAATATAATTTAAATGTTATACTAACATCTTGCTAAAACCTATGTCATCGTCTTAAATTATACCTTCCTCCTTGTCTATTATTGACAGGCTGTCATCTTTTCACTCAAAATGTTTAGTTTATTCATTCACGAAATCTATTTCTGCATTTGCATTAATGCTTGTAAAATAAAAATAAAAATTTATAAAATTAGAAATATTAAAACAATGTTACTGAAAACAATTTAAGTTCTTAAAACTCTTTTTAGAAACGCTTCGGAAGTATCCTCCAGCTTCATTACTATCCAGAAGATGCGAACATCAGTACCAAATACCGGGAAGTAAGGTCGAATTACCAGCAGGTATGCGAGTGATCATACCGATTTATGGGCTTCACCATGATCCAGATTATTATCCGAATCCCGAAATATTTGATCCTGAAAGATTTACAGAAGAAAACAAACGAACTAGGCATCCGTATACGTATCTTCCATTTGGTGAGGGACCACGAAATTGCATAGGTATTTTAATTTTATTCTTTAACAAATGTTTGTATGTTAATCAACTTTATTGATTGGAAAATAAAATTAAATGTTTATAAATGTTAGGTAAAAAATATAAAAAAGGTTTGAGGTAGTGATAATGTTCTTGAGATAATGGACTTGGCAGACTAATAAACTATTTGGTGAGAGACAAAAAAATTGTTATATCGTAAAGTCATAAATCAAACAAAGCATACGTTAAAAAGTAAAAGGAAACGAGAATTTGCAATTTCTTAACCCAACTGTATTACGACATTACATCATCATATCGGTGTATATTGAACAGGTGTTACCTAATAGAGAGAAGCAATATTTGCATTTTTCGCTGTACTACGGTATAACTTTACTATTTACGGCAACTATCTCACGGTACTTTCTGTTTTTTATTTAAAGTAAAGCATTTCTCCTTATAATTTTCTTCATGTCTTCTATTATAATTTCTCCTGAAAATTTAACGATAAAAACACATTTTTAGTCATTTCTTCAACTGTCAATTCCATCGCTAATAATTATGTGATACACTTATACACATGTATGCATACGTTTATACCTGTGTGTGTGTATATATATACTTTTAATATTCCAAACTTTTCAAAGTATAAATACATATATTATTTTCATTTTTATGATGAAATATAATAGAATATTAGAACAGAGTATTAAAACGCCTACAAAACGCTTAAATCACATAATTTATTACACTCTGATAAATCATAACCTGTTGCAACAAACCATTAACGATAGGGAACTTATAGGGTACCGTCTCGAATTACGTCATAGAGATTAAACTGTTATGTTAACAACACCATATTTTTTCAGGTATGCGATTCGCACTACTAGGAATCAAAGTGGGAATAATTTCATTTCTTAGAAAACACAGAGTGGAAGTATGTGAAAGAACAATTACGCCCATAAAATTTAGTAGACGAAGCCTTGTAACCACTAGTGAGAAAGGATTTTGGCTTAGAATTGTTCAATGTTCTTAAATACTTTGCGAAATTAAAAAGAAACATTTTCACATATAAATACCAACAACATGTATTATGTACTTAAAATACCTTAAAGAAATTAGCAATATTAGTAATTTTCTTTTTGTAACTATTAATATTAATGCGGCCAGTAAAACACTTTTAATCACGAATTTTTATATTTTATTTTTTATTCTTATAGTTCATTGAAATAATTAAATGCATTATAAGTATTTATTCAAAATTATTTGTTTCATTTTATACAACAGTTAACGAATATCAGTGATATTTTAGGTTACCATCAACAATGTATTTATGTTTAACTTATAAGGTTTCATAAATATAGATTTACCTGCAGTATATTAATAATTATAATACTTTTAAATAAAACCTTTGTTCTATATGTTTTTAAGGAATTATATTTTTATGTAATTATTGTTATGGCACTCTGTTTTTAAAAACAATTTTATTACACAAATAGAACATTTATATTTTTGTAAACATTTTATACATTAAACATTATAATGTACTGATGTAATAAATGTAATAAATGTGAATACAAAATTTGTTTGTTTCATTAAGACTCATGGTTGGTGAATTCTTTGTTTATTTAATTTGTTTATTTAGTTTATTTAACAATATATATTTTATAAGTCCTATACATTACTATTGTTATTACGAAAAAAAAACATAGTATAGCAACTTACCTATATTACTTTTAGTATTAAGAAATTCACTACTCGTAATTTAAAAAATATGTAAATTCAGATATCAATAATTCTATTAAAGGTGAACATATTAAAAGAAAAAAAAATTAATGCAGTCTATTGTATTGTGAAGTATATAATACTAACGCAAAATTGGTATTCCTAACTGTAAATAATCCTACGTGTCCCATGTATAAATTAGCCCTAATCAAATATGGTTTGCTTTCATGTTAAACTGATTAACCATCTAAACAGTCGATACACCGGAAAGAGTTAATGTAACCTAACTGTATATCGTCACCACTTTCAATTACATCCGCACTATAGTCAGTCTTTCGTTACATCGGATTGGTGTATTGATTGTAAAACGTATCGTATATATATATATATATTTATATATATACATGTGTGTATACATATATCGTATATATGGATATACATATACATATATATCTATATATGCGATACAGTATTTCGTTGCACATACGATAGCTACATTTGTTGTGTCTCCTACCATTGTATTGTCTATCAGTGGCAGCAGCTTCAAGTCAGTGCACTCTTCGTAGAGAGATTTGTATATAGATATCTACGTATGTACAGTAGATCGTTTGTATACGATAGTTAATTATACGATCGAAAATGTCATTTCCTTGATTAGGTGACAGTGCTCTTTTTAAAACTGTATTACTCTTTTGCTTGAAGATTTTGCGCAAAATCTAACAGCGAGACAGATCGCTGAAAATAATGCCAGGGTGAGCCGTAAATCTGTTTACGTAGATGCGTAACACTTCTATCACATTAAGTCAATAATGGAACCCTTTAAACGATAAGGTCTATGCCAACTGTATATTTTTTTTTATTTCTATCATGACACTTGCTATGAAAGGAATAGAGACAAACATATTTTTTCATTATATATATATATATATACATATATATATGTATATCTTTCAACTTTTAATAATAAAAATTATATAGTTAATAATATTATTAGTCAGTATTTATTAGAATATTGGCCATTTTATATTGTACATCTTATTTAATTTTGTTGATAATACTTTTACCTGTATATTTCAGATATATAGGTTAAAATTATCTTCTTACTCTTCAGTCATGTTTTTGGAATGCAAACCTTACTTATATCTCTATCATTAGTAGTTTATTCATACAAACTTACATCATATTTGAATCTTGAATTATATATATACGTATACATCTATTTCAACACATTTGTCATTTATTGTGGTAACCAGTTTTTAATTTAATTGTAGATGTCACACTACAATAGAAGTACAGGTACTCAAAGATCTGCGGTGATTGATTATGAACGTCAGTTTCAAGAAGATCTAGAACGTGCTCAAGCATTAAGTTTAGAAAGTCTGGCACTAGAAAAATTTAAATTACAAAAGCAACAATCCGAATTTAATAATATTCAACAACAATGTGTTCCACAAAGTGATGAACATAGGGGAAACAACACTGTACATAGTAGTTCATCAGAAAGAGATAACTTACCACAAGCTGAAAAGTATATGAAATTTTAACATTATTTACTTATTATTGTTATAAATTAGTTTTATTTTATTATATATTTATTATAGAAGTTGAATTGTACTTAATAAATAATATAGATTTCAGTGTAGAAGCAGACCAAGGCCTGGTTCCTTTAATACCAATCAATCTAAAAATGCTGTGATATTAGCACCACCACCAGTTCCATCTAGAAGAAATTCAACAACAGCTACAACAAGTCAAGAACATACTGTTGATTTGATTAATTTTACAAGTCCAGTGAAACAAGATAATTTAAGTGATTATTGTTCACCTCCACCTCCACCTCCGTAAGGATAATTTGATCAATTTGACAACTTACAAATATTATCAAAATGCTCTTTCAAATTTTTAATTATAAATTATTTTCCCTTAATAGAAAAACATCTGTAGAACCAAAATGGGAAACTCATCCATCATTATTAAAAAAACAGGGAAGAGTGTCACGCAGTAGTAGTTCTGCAGGTTACCATTCTCGGGATTTCCGATATCAGTCACTTTCTCCAGGTCCTAGATCTTCCACTGCACCTTGCACACCAGGAACTCCAAAAATTAGTCCTATCATGTCAAGATCTAGTAGTATTAGCAGTAATGTACCTGATATAACACCACAAGTAAGTAATATTGTAATATATTCATGAATATTTAGTAGTTAGTATAAAATATATTCATTTCTTTTTTTGTTATGTAAGTAATTTTTTTAATAATTCTTGCAGCTTGCATGGAATCTTAATAATTTTAAAAATTATTTTCTTGCACAGGTATATATTATGTACAAGTCTTTAGCTTAATGTACCCAAATACCAGTTAAATAATATCAGCATGAAGATAGTTTTAGGTTTATCTGTAATATTTTTTTGTAACGAAATATTAAATATTGCATAAAGTGTACTCATTACTTGGTTTAAAAATAATTAAAACATTTTTTTACAGATACCTCCATTACCTATGAATTACAGACCAAGTATTATTTCTTCTATATGTGGTGTTCAAAAACCTGCGTTCTGTACAGATGATGAGCAGCTAAATGTATTGAAAGTGATAGAGAAAAAGCCAAATAATAATCTTATAGATTTGAGTTCTTTTGATCATGTAGAAGATAAAACAAATGTTCGAGTTAGTGTACTGGAAGCATTTGATCCATTACTTGTTAAGACTGAAGATCAGAATGACAGTGCACAGAGGCATAAAGATGGTAATGTTTTCTTAAAGTTTAGAGTTAGATATAATACAAAATAAATATATAAATATATAATAATATGATATGTTCAAACAGAAATACAATCGCAAGTCAGTGGATCAGTATATGACCCGTTTGATCCTTTTGATTACATGTATAGCACAAATGAAAGTGTTAATTCAGATCCAGTATATGTTGCTGTAGAAAAATCTGCTAAATCTCCAGCAATGTCTCCAGCTGCACCACCACCACTACCTCCTAGAAATTCATCAGCTTGGAATACTATTGAAAGAAGAAGAACTTCCTTAGATAGAAGAGTAAATACTTTGAATGATTATTTAAATAAATAATTAATAATTAGAGCTTCAATAACTTTTATTTTTTTACAACAGAAACGGCAAACACGCTTATATGAAAATGTAACAGTACGGAAAACCAGACCATCACTTCGTGATTGCGATCTTAGAGGTTTTCATGAAATGATGAAATCTGTACGAAGTTAGTATAGTATAAACAATTAATTTATTGTTTTTATAATATTTATAATTAATATTAATTTATAAGATATAATGAATTTAGGTGAATTTCCATTTAATGATCCCAGTACAAACATTGGACATGTAATCAGTCCAATGATGGAAAGCTTATATCCTGAAGGCACAAGTATAAAATTAGTTGTACACCCACAGTTAATAGATTCCGATGAAAATACTCCGTCCATTTCGTTTACATGTGACGGTAAGCTTATATGTGTGGATTATATAATATATAATTTATAAAATAAATTTCAACAATATAACATATATATATTCACTTACAGTAAATTGTAGTGTCGAGCATGTTATTCTTAACGTTGCTTGTTCCTTAGAAGATGAAGATACAGTAAATATAGAAAAATATTGTTTGAGAGTATGGGGTTTAGCAGAATATTTTGCATCTAATACAACTTTAGCTCAGTATGAATATATACACCAGTGTATCAAACTAGAAAAAGATATTGAATTAGCTATTCTAACTAAAGCACAAATAAAACAATCTATAGCACGAACGGTAAGTATTTACTTGAAAGTAAGAATGTTTTGCTTGATTTATATAACATATCAAATTTTGTTAACAGCTTCAAGATGATAATCGTGATCAGTGTCTTAAGTTAGAGGACATTCTTCCAAATGAACCAGTACAATCCATTTCATATGATACGCTTCTTATTTTACTAGGTATGGATTCAGAAAATAACTTATATACAATTATTGTTATATGAAAATGTAAAACATCAAGATAATAATTACACATTTCCATTTAAAACATTATAGAAACTGTGGAAAAAGAAATGGAACGTGTAGAAACTGCTGCAATACAGTTGGCAACTACTAATCATGGGTCCAGTCTTTTACCACAATTACAACCTCGTGGTGTTATTCAAGCGGTAAAAGCAGTGTGTGCATTAATGGGAAACATAGAAACATTTGAAATTACAGAAGCTGTTGACAATTTCGTAAATGCATGTTGTCAATTTTTACCTCAAGTACATACAACTAATATAGAGTGCAAGAAACCAGAAATTTTACATGAAGATGGTGACTATTCTGTAGTGACTTTAAGAACAAAATTTCCAGATGTTATTGCATCTCATTGTCGAAAAATTCGTGATGCAATTCAAGACCTTGTGGAAACTTATTGTCATGCTTTTAGGGTTAATTTTGAATTAAATAGCAGAGGAGAATTTCCAACAAGTAAGATTAGATTTATGAAATTTTATTCTGATAGATAAGCAAGTATAAGAAGAATTAATTATAAATATTATGTGTTTTTTTTATAATAGATACATTAATATCATCTGAAGTGTTAGATACAATCTTAGTTCGCGTTGGCGCAGTACATAGACTACCAGGGTCATGGAAACATGATGATTATATCATAGCAGCACAAATATTTCATGGAACAAGACCTGTTGGAAATCCAGTTTTATCTGAACCTATGGCAGTCAGCTCTAATTTTTATCCAAGAATTTTATTTAATTCATGGTAATGATTTTGAAAACTGCTATTTCAAAATTATTTATTTAATTTATAAATGTATACTATTTTCTCGTTTATATAAAAGGCTAGAATTTCGCGGAATAAGCGTATGTCAAGTACCAAGAGAAGCTAGATTAGTGTTAGTTTTATATGGTCGCACATTGCAACCTACTGAACACGAGTCTAATTCGTCAGCAGAAAATACTATGCAAAAAGAAGAGTTAGGATGGGGAGCTATACAATTTTTTGATTATGAAGGGTAAGTGATTGTGTGAAATGAAATAAAAAATATTTTACTATACATTTGTTTATGTAATATTTTTTTTTACTTTAGAGTTATGAGTCAAGGAAGTTTTTTTTTGTCACTTTGGCCAGCAATTGCTGATAAAAGATTAGGACCTGCTCCAGCTCCTGGAATTCATCCTCATGGAGATACACATGCTATTATTGGTGTAGAATTACCTGATTATGGAGGAAGGGTGCTATTCCCGACAGAATTACGTGATTATGATGTAGAATCTCTTGATTTTAATTCATTGGATCAGAATACGCAGGAATTGTTAATAGACATTACACAACAAACTACATTTTCAAGGTATACATTTTTAAATGATAAATATTGATAATATATACTATTATTTATTTATTTATTTTTAAATAGACCACTTATTGAAGAAAGAGAAATTCTATGGGAAAAACGACATTATTTGCATGATAGACCAGAAGCTTTACCCAAAATACTTTTAGCAGCTCATAGTTGGGATTGGGCCTGTTTACCTGATCTTCACGCATCTCTTAGAATTTGGAGTCCACTGCCTCCTGTTCAAGCTTTACAGTTATTATTACCGTGGTAAGTCGTTGTTTTATTAATATTCAGAAAATTATTGCTCACTAACTAATCATAGATATTCTATAGTTTTCCAGATATGAAAGTTAGAGAAATGGCGGTTGGGTGGATTCGAGAATTGAGTAATGATGAACTTGTAGATTATTTACCGCAATTATTGCAAGCATTGAAACATGAAACATACGAAACATCTACTCTTATAAAGTTTTTATTAGAACGAGCATTACTTTCTCCGCGAGTAGCTCATCATATTTATTGGTTATTAACACAAGCGTTACCAGGACAAAGCCCACAGGTAATTTAGAGTGAACCAATTTTCTGATTAAAAAAATAAACAATATGTAAATATAAAAATAATAATAAAAAAAATGTAATGTAGTACAAAATGATATAAAAAATATATTTGATATATCTAACTTTCAGAATTCTGCAGAAGGTACACCAGGAGATGACAAAAATATCAGTTCAGCACGTTATCACAGAAGGTTACAATTAATGTTACGAGCATTATTGGCTGTTATTGGTGATGCATTGAGAAATAGTTTTCTCACACAACAACTACTTGTTAAAGTAAAATGTGTTAATATATTATATTCTTTTAAGTAAATTCATAAATATTAATGATACAATTCACAATATTGCAGAATTTACATGAAATAGCAGAAAATATTAAACAGACAAAGGATTCATTGCGACTGGATGCACTCAAAGTTGGTTTACAAAACATACATTGTCAATTAATGGAAGATGACGGTATCTGTTTGCCATTATCTCCTAGCAAACAAGTATTTGGTATAAATGTACAAAGTTGTTCATATTTTCCATCATTTACTCTTCCACTGAAAATCAATTTTATTAGTTGCGATGATGTAATTTGTCCGGCGATTTTTAAAGTAAGTTTAGTAAACAATTATTTATTGTCATAATTTGTTTTCATTTTATACAATTTATAAAATTTTACGACGATCTGTTACAATTATTATGATTTATTTTACACTAAATTGATTTTAAAGGTTGGTGATGATTTACAACAAGACATGTTAACTCTTCAAATGGTTCGTATTATGGATAAACTCTGGTTAAAAGAAGGTCTTGATCTTAAAATGGTAACATTTGCTTGTGTACCTACTGGTTACAAACGTGGAATGATTGAAATGGTTACAAATGCTGAAACATTAAGAAAAATTCAGGTTGAATTTGGATTAACCGGTTCATTCAAAGATCGACCTATTGCCGAATGGTTGGCAAAGCATAATCCCTCAGAATTAGAGTATGAACGAGCAGTAGAAAACTTTACTGCATCTTGTGCAGGATACAGTGTTGCTACTTACATTTTAGGAATTTGTGATAGGCATAATGACAATATTATGTTAAAAACATCAGGTCATCTGTTTCATATTGATTTTGGAAAATTCTTAGGTGATGCACAAATGTTTGGAAATTTTAAAAGGTATGTCTCCATATATTTAATATTATGAATTCAATAATAATACTATAAAATAAAATTTTAATTTTATAATTTGTTATGAATTAGGGATAGAACACCATTTGTATTAACATCTGATATGGCATATGTTATAAATGGTGGAGATAAACCATCAGCCAAATTTCATCATTTTGTAGATTTATGTTGTCAAGCGTTTAATGTAGTACGAAAACATGGAAATTTAATTCTCCATCTTTTTGGATTGGTATGTTTATTCATATTACCTTGTATATGTTAAGTATTTTATGCCACTAAAATACTCAAATTTATATTGAAATATTACACAATAACCCATCTATTTATTATAAAAGGTTTATTTGTTATATGCTTCGTTTTGTATAAATATTAATTTAGTTTCAATTTATTGATATTATAATTCAAACTATAAACTCTGTTATGGAAACAACAAAACCGCAACGGAAGGACTTATCCATTTACTTTATCAGGAAGCGGTCCGCCTATCACGCTAAATTACGTACAGCATGTAGTTAATTAGTGTTTATCATCTGAAGTCCCGCAATATCGAACAATCCAGCAGTCTGACTCAATTAAGAATAGAGAAAGCAAGTCAAAACAATATACCAATAACAAATAGTTTTCATAAACGTTCTGTTAATACGACTAATCTAATTGAAAGAAAAGTACAAATATTAAAAATGGATGGTTTATTGTCTCAAAAAAGTAGTATTAATGATTTATATAAATTATGTGTTATACAACAAAAACTTAGTGATATTGAAAACAAAGAATTAGTGAACAAACATAAAATGAATGATTATACAAATTCACAGATGACTTCATCTGGTATTCCTGGTGTGACTGTGGATGCAGTTAGTTATGTACAAAAAGCTCTTCTTCCAGAGCAAACAAATCCTGAAGCAGCTGCAACATTTGCTCGAATGATAGAAAGTTCACTAAAAAGTTGGTTTACTCAATTCAACTTTTTCCTACACAATTTAGCACAGCTTAGATTTTCGGGTGATCATAATGATGGAGCATTATTATCTTTTATACCCCGTACATATACGTAAGTTTATTGATATATTTCTTAAAATTATACGCAAATTTGAAAGACCCTATACTTACATGCTCGTTGTAGAATGCAACAAGAAGGTCAATTAAGGAGTGTTCAAGTACATGGATATCAAAAACGATATGATCCTGAGAAATATTATATGTATATTTTGCGTATACAAAGAAAAGGTCATGCAGATCCCACTTATTTATTCCGGTCGTACAAGGAATTTTGCGAATTTTACCAAAAATTATGCATTCACTTTCCTCTTGCAAAGCTTGTTAGGTAAGTAAAATATATTTCTATTTAATTTTTAAAATATGTATTACAGCCAATAAATAATAATTATATATTAATTGTAATTCATAATACCATTGCATATTTAATTATAAAATTTATATTTATGAACAGTTCAGTTTATGTAAAGGTTTTTGCAAAACCTTTCATTTTTAATAATTAAGATCTCTTTTACATTTTTTCGTTTAAAATTACATTTATCTTCTACATATAGAAAATCTTCTACAATAAAAACCACTTATTACTTTACTTCATTTTTTCATTATTAAGATGAAGATTTTGGTTGGACATTAGTATTAATAGTATTCTTAAAATTATCATTTATATTTTTTTGAGACTTATGAATAGTTGAATCAGTTTGTGATATTTTTCGATAAAATTCGGGAGTAATCGATTTCTTAGATGAACTTTGTTGTATAGGTATTTGTGCACGGAACCGTTTGATACCCATTTTTAGTTAATGAACTTCTCTTCTAAAATAACACATAATTAATTTTTATATATTTATTTTCAATTCAATAATAATACGTACCTATTTTTTTAATATAAATTTACTGTTTGAATTCTTCAAACTATATAAGTGTTATCAAATTTAAATATATAATCAACACTATAAATTATTGCAATAATTATAAACATAAAATAAGTATACGTTTTGTTATTGCTTCTGTTTGATAAGTATTTTATATTATGATATCAGAATTTTGATGTGTCATTTTACTATCTAATCAAGTTTAATCAGATCAAAATCTTTGATATGTAAAACGTTTCTTTTGAAGCCAAATCCTCGACAATAAATTAAATTTTACCTCAATTTTCAACATGTTTAAAGTAATTGAAAAATTTATGCTATTTTATTATAAAAAGTAAATACAATTATTATATCAATATAAATAAAAATTTATTTTCGCAGCTTACCAAGTGGTATAAGCGTTGGAAGATCGAACATAAAACAAGTTGCTGATAAACGTCGAGCAGATATTGAGAAATTTCTTGTAAGCTTATTCACGATGGCACCTGAAATTTCACAGAGTGATTTAGTATATACTTTTTTTCATCCTTTATTGAGAGATCAACAAAATGCCGATATTCATTTACGTAAAGTAAAAGGTCTAACAAATTTTTAAAAATATGATTACGATATATACCATTTGAAGGTACTGTAAATATCTTAATTGTTTCTTTTCTTTTTCCTTTTAATTAGTTGGTAATTGGTGGGCTGAGAAACGAGTGAGGGATAATGTTCAAAGTGGACAGATTAAAATGTCCCTTCATTATACACGTGGAACATTCTATGTCATGGTTTATCATGCTAGAGGCTTGCCTAAAGTAGCTAATTGTCAAGAACCAAATACATATGTCAAAGTTTATCTTAAACCTGATCCTTCAAAAAAGACAAAACGGAAAACAAAGGTTGTAAAAAAAAATTGTCATCCTTCATTTATGGAAATGGTAATGAATTTAAATGAATGAATGAACCAATCTTTTTTCATTTATTATTATTGAAATTAAATTTCTTAAATATATAATTTATATTTATTCATCACAGCTGGAATATAGAATGGCTTTGGACGTTATTAAAGACAGAACTTTGGAAGCTACAATATGGAATCATGATACTCTACAGGAAAACGAATTTCTTGGTGGAATACGCTTACCACTTGGACGTCTTGATTTAACGAATGAAACAATTGAATGGTTTTCACTCGGGAGTATTCGATGAATGAGTTGTTAATAATTTAAGGAAAGAAAAAAAAGGTTTATTAATGCTCATGAATATTTGCTCTATATAAAAACGACAATATTCAATTTTATCGCACAATACTAATTATAGCATTTCTATACTATGCACGCGATAGCGTAATAAGAAAAATAGTGTTTATATATCACTATGAATTGCATTGACACATGCTTCATGTTTAGTAAAGATGCTTCGTGAAGATAAAGTTAGTTAACATCATACAGTGTACTATATAAAATTGTATTCAATTAATTTAATGACGCGTAAACAAAAGAGGCATATTTCATAAAATTATTCTACTTTTGCAAAAATTGTCAGAATACTTTAATTATAATATCGATAATGAATTTTAATTTGTCTGCAAACATTTGACAAAAACGACCAAAAAGTATAGGACGTTTTATATTTATAGCATTAATGTTTTACGTTTACAGCTTGCTAGTAGGAATTTATAAAAAAATTTGTACTATTTCTACCGAAAAATAATCTCATTAATTATAATATTTATAATGATAATTGTAAATTAAAACTTTCTTTTTCTACTCTATTGTAATAAATTAAGTACATTATTTCTCGAATAGTAATTCGTAACAGCGTAAATTTATATAAGTACGTAATATAAATTTTACTTTGATATAAGTTATTTGCCTACAGTAATAACTATTTTAAATGAAAGGAAGACATTTTTTACTTTCGTATGAAAATTAAAAATTACATATAAAAATAATCAAAATATCTAACTATGTAAAATAGTAAACTTTATATAAAAGATTGCCTATATTAATATGAAGTAGGAATTTTTTATGTGAAAAGGAGAATGAAATTATGTAAATATGCTTTAACGTTTATAAATGTATTTTATTATTATTTTATGTATTGTGTATATTTTATATTGTTTATTTTGGTAAATAATGTAAGAGTACTATAATAAAAATGTAGGTTTATGTTAATACATTATCAATGGGTGACTATTAAATTTGTCCATATAAGTAACACATCGATATTTTTTTGTCATTTTCATTTTTTACTAATTTTATTCCTTAAATTATTGTTGTGAGAGGAATACTACGATTATCATAGTTTATTACAAAGTATAAAATAATACCACTAATCTAGTCTCCTGTTGTTAGTGTATTAATGTAATTAATATTAATCTTAATTTTTGTTATAAACGTTTAATACAGTGCAATAATTAAATAGTACAAGTTGCATTGTTTCTTTACACTTACATAAATTTTGATATTATAATTGTGAGAAAGGAATTGTGCTAATAAATGCTCAAGTCTTTTTGCTTTTGCATTATAAAAGCTTTTGAATGTGCTTTCTGCAATTTTTATGTTGTGACATAAAATCGTGTAAATTTTAATAATTTATTTATATTTTGGACTTATTTGTGGTTCTTTCTTAATTGTCTGACATAAATATACACAAAAGTTAATAGAAGAATATTGTAATGATTTTATTCAATTTCCACTATTTCCTTCTTATATTCATTGTGGTTATTAAGTATTACTAAATCGTATATTTAAAAAAAAAATAATATAGACACGTAGTTCTAAGAGTCTTATAATTTAATAAATCTATTAATAAATGAAATAATATTAATAATAAAAAAATTAATAATATTTATAAAATATATTTAATTTTTAATATTCCATTTTCAAATATGTAATATTAACACTAGAATTACTGACTTACAATAATTAGCTTCATACATATGTATTATATACAAATGACAATAATTACGATAATATAATCTAGTATGCAATATATAAAAAAATTAATTATTATTATGAATACTCACTAACGAATAAATATAGCTACGGTACTGCTTTCGCGAAACAGTCAAATGATGGCTACTTGGCGCCAAAACGCAGTGCACGTGTCTCCAATGTATATCTCTTTGATTTGTGTAAATCAACACTTGCTGGATTACTTTTTCTTCAGAAATATCTGCAAAATCCTGTATTATATGGTATGTTCATGCTAGATAAATAATGTTTCGTGAAGGTGTAAAAATAGTACACAGAAGCTACGATAATTGATGTTTTTTTAAACTTTAATGGCTATTTATAATCATTCGAAACTTCAAAATAATATGATTATAAACACTGACTTAGGAATCTCTTTTCTATCAATTAGACCTTTCTGATGTTTCTAGTTTCTGTGTAATAATTAATTTTTATTAAAGATTAGGAATTTTTACAAAAATTTTAATTTTTCGAAAACTGAGGATGATACAGGATTTTTATTTGCAGTTTATACTCAGAGTTAGGAGCTTTACAAGGATCGTTCAGTGCAGATTGCAAAGAGGTAAAAAGTTAAAATTTGTTGAACAATGTTATTAGGGTATTTTTTTTTTTTGATCTAGTAAATTTTGACGTGTACATTCCAAAATCATGGTTTAATGTTAGCATTGTACATTAGAAATGTTTGTTGTCTTCTATAAATCGTAGTAGGCAGGATAAATTCTATTTATACGTATATATGCGTCCGTACTTCAATTTATGTTCGATTTTTCTTTCGCGCATTCACTCTGAGTTGAAGCGATTCTTCGCGTGACGACAACAAATAAATTAGCCCAAATCATTTACGTGAGGATTCTATATCTTTCATGTTTTATTTAAAGACATCCTTTCATGGCCTCCCGTAGTGATATCATTATATCATATCAGTATACTTATGGTGATGACAATATACCGAATATTTCCTCATAGATAAAGGTAATAATTAAACAAACGAAGGTATAAATACATCTTTTGATTTTACTTCGCATTCGTAATTGATTGGTTACCGCCATAAGACAATGAGTACTTTTGATTGGTTGAATAGTCAGAAGAGCCAATATGGCAGTTAAGTAATGCGCAAAATGAGATAACTTTAAGTACGCATAATATTAGATTTTATCAAGCGTTTGTTCAGAAAAGTTAACTTCACTCATTGGGGTAAATCGGAATTTGTTCTTCAATGAGCGAGGTTGATTAATTATTCTTAATAATTTTTCGCAAATGTATACTCATCATAGAAGGAAATTACGTTAGCAGTTCTCAACCTGTGATACGCGTACATTAAATATCTTAAGGTGGAATGTGAGATGAATCAAATTATATAAAACTTTGCATTGTGTACAGTGGAATATACTATAATAAATAGATATTGCCTACAACATGGTACGTAACTTGATTTCATATTGGTTAGTGGTATGTAAGGAAGAAGGTTGAGAACTGCTGTCGTGTACCATATTACTCTTAATTACGACGCCATGACAGATATTTGAAAGTTATTCACTTTTATCGAAAAAATGATTACGTAAGTAACTGTTTTTTTCTCGAAGAACATATTTCTATTATTTGTACAGTTATTGTAGAATAAACATGAAGGGAGTATTTTAAAATTTATTTCTTAGGCAATTTATTAAAACAGTATCTTTCTTTTTACATAAATAATTTGTGGTTATATAGAGAGTTGGATTGCAAATGGCCATGTGTATATGGTTGATTAATAGCGTCCACTAAAAATTGTAGGGGAATTGTAATGTAATGTAAATATATGTTTTATCAGATCTAATAACGATTATAATCATATTTTGTCCACAGAATTTATTAAAAATAAAATACGGAATGACTAGCCTAACAGTCCCGGCGGTCTTTCCTACTATTTTTTTACACTTGTCATTGACGATACGTGACCTATTCTGTGACTTTCTTGTGATGAAAAGGAGAGGTTATGCGTTTTCTTTTTTCCACGAGTATCATGTGTATCAAGTTGATCCTCAAGTTCCTTTCATAATAAATATCGTTATATATTGTCGCTGAAATCACTTTTTCTATGTATATATATTTGACGGCTTTTTCAAATAATAAAATGTGTCATTGTAATATACATATATATTACAGTGCATACTTTATTATTTGAAAAAGCCGTCAAATATATATACATAGAAAAAGTGATATAATAATGGATCAAATAATATTCCATTATTTGAAAAAGGTGTCAAATTGAGACTAGGAATATATGGGAATTCATATATCAAATTTGATTACATATACGGATGTGACGTTCAATGTGTTTTTATGTCATTTTCAACTTTACCGATCTATGGCGGAATAAGATTACACTACACCTAGTGGGTAAAGTTGAACCTAAATATATGTAAGATTACTTGTTTCAGGAATAGAACTTGTTACAATATAAATAGAGCAAAAGAATATTGTAATATTTTATGAAGATTTTATTACAAACGAGATATAACAAAAAGTAATATATAAAATTTTGTTTCACGAACTGCATTATCGATATGGTAACTATTGGGAAAATCTGAGTTTTTGCGGCATCTACAATTTCGAACGGTGAGTTTATGAATTATGTTGAGCGTAACCAATGTTGATAAAGTCACATATGTAAGAAGAATTTTCTTTTTGTTTTATTTAAAAGAAAATATTTTATGGGGCACCCAGAAACTTAGTTATCTGTTACACTCCTTTGCACAAAACTTAATTTTGATCAATCTAAACATCTTTGAAAACGCTTATGTAAACATAATTCTGTTAAACGTAAGTACTACCTTTATTTACATTTGTCGAATATTCTAGAATGTTAAAATTTTATCTAAAGATAATGTCGACATTAATATTGACTAATAACTTCCATCTATTATTTCTTAAAATATGACAAAGAATAACTATCGATAACATTTACCTTTTGCAATAGGAAGGAGAAAGTAATGTAAACTTTATTATGTTATAATTTTCTAATTCATACTTAGATGCATATAGAATGAGTATAGAAATATTTTTCAATAATTCTAAGTATTCTCTCTTGTAATATCATTCGATTATTTAATTTTTATTGCACACACATATTCATAAAAAATAATGGATTTTACAATTATGTTATTAATTATTATAATTATTATTAACAGCACTATTGTAGGAAATAATTCCAAAAGCATGTATTTTTACATTTCAGATTCACTTCAATTGAAACAGCATTGTTAGTTTACACTTTTATCTTATATTTGACCAAAACAGGTATCATAAAAGAAACGTAATTACCCTTAAGTTAGTCTCT